CAGAGGTTGCAGTGAGCTGAGATCGTGCTGCTGCACTACAGCCTGGTAAAATGAGACAGAGTCTTGCTCTGTTGCCCAGGATGGAGTGCAGTAGCATGATCTCGGCTCACTGCAACCTCTGCCTCCTGGTTCAAGCAATTCTTCTGCCTCAGCCTCCTGCCTCAGCCTGTAGCTGGGATTACAGGCACCGGCCACCATGTCCGGCTAATATTTGTATTTTTAGTAGAGATGGGGCTTTGCCATTTTGTCCAGACCGGTCTCAAACTCCTGACCTCAGGTGATCTGCCCACCGAAGCCTCCCAAAGTGCTGGGATTACAGGTGTGAGCCACCACACCCAGCCTATTATTATTGAGACAGGGTCTCGCTCAGTCATGCAGGCTGGAGTGCTGTGGCACAGTCAGCTCATAGCAACCTCAAACTCTTGGGCTCAACGGATCCTGCAGCCTCAGCCTCCCATGTAGCTGGGACTACTACAGGTGCTGTGCCACTGCACCCAGCCTGGTGTCTCTTCTTCTTTTTTTTTTTTTTTTGAGATGGAATTTCGCTCTTGTTGCCCAGGCTAGAATGTAATGGTATGATCTCGGCTCACTGCAACCTCTACCTTCTGGGTTCAGGTGATTCTCTTGCCTCAGCCTCCTGAGTAGCTGGGATTACAGGTGCATGCCACCATGTCTGGCTGATTTTTTGTATTTTTAGTATACAAAGATACAAATACAGAGGGTCTCACTCTGTCTTAAATTTAAAAAAAAAAGGAAAAAAAATTTTAGGCTGATCATGATGGCTGTTGCCTGTAATCCAGTCACCTTGGGAGGTCAAGGTGAGTGGATCCCTTGAGGTCAGGAGTTCAAGACCAGCCAGGCCAATAGGTGAAAGGCCGTCTCTACTAAAAATACAAAAATTAGCTGGGCGTGGTGGCGCAAGTTTGTAATCTCAGCTGCTCAGGAGGCTGAGGCAGGAGAATCGCTTGAACCCCAGGAATTGGAAGTTGCACTGAGCAACTTGAGATCTCGCCACTGCACTCCAGCCTGACCGACAGAGCAAGACTCCATCTTAAAACAATTTTTTTTCTTTTCATTCATTTTTAATAGAGATGGTGTCTCGCCATCTTTCCCAGGCTGGTCTTGAATTCTTGGGCTCAGGTGATCCTCTTCAGCCTCCCAAAGTGCTGGGATTACAGATGTGAACCACTGTGTCCAGCCCCTGTCCAGATTATTTTGGCCTCTGTGTAGCATGTCTATCCCCAGGGTATGGACAGGACCCTCTTTGGAATGAGAGACTCATGGCCCACAATCAGATTAGAGTTCTGCAGTAAGCAGGTGAAAGGCGGACAGGAGAAGCTCAGAGAGAGATTCTGCTTACTGTAACAAGGACTATGGGAGTTATGAGTCAGGAACCATGGATGGAAACCAATGTATAAATTATAATATCATGGCTGATATCTTTGTTTTCTCAAAGGAATAATTACTTGCCAGTTTTATTTTATTTATTTATTTATTGTGTGTGTGTGAGACAGAGTCTTACTCTGTCACCCAGGCTGGAGTACAGTGGCATGATCTCGGCTCACTGCAACCTCCGCCTCCCAGGTTCAAGTGATTCTCCTACCTCAGGCTCCTGAGTAGCTGGGATTACAGGCATGTGCCACCACGCCTGGCTAATTTTTGTATTATTAAAAGAGATGGGGTTTCTCCATGTTGGTCAGGCTGGTGTCAAACTCCTGACCTCGTTATCCCAAAGTGCTGGGATTACAGGCGTGAGCCACTGCCATGGATTTATTTTAAAATCCATATAAAGTATTTTAGAATTTTTTGTGTTTCAGTTTAAACATCACCACAGAAGGAAAGCAGGATCTCTGCTGGTTTCTCAAACAAACAAACAAACAAACGGGATTGAAGGTCTTTTTGTCTTATTTAAGTGATTAGTGTTGGTGAGAGGCAGGTGAATAACCTGCAGTGGGCAGCAGAGCCTGAGGCCACTCTGGAGCCTGCAAAGGGAGGGAAAGGTGCTTCTCGGGCAGGCTGCCCTTCCTTGCAGGTGGCCTCCAGATCAGAACCACTCCAGAGGGAGTGCAGATTCTTTTTTTTTTTTTTTTTTTTTAAATAAAGACGGGGTTTCACCATGTTGGTCAGGCTGGTCACCTCAGGTGATCTGCCCACCTTGGCCTCCAAAGTGCTTGGATTACAGGTGTGAACCACCACGCCCGGCCAAGATTCTTTTTTTTTTTTTTTTAATTATTTAATTTTTATTTTTATTGATTTTATCTTTTTGTTTTTGAGACAGAGTCACAGTCTGTCGCCCAGGGTAGAGTGCAGTGACTCGATCTTGGCTCACTGCAACCTCTGCCTCCTGGGTTCCAGCAATTCTCTTGCCTCAGCGCTCGGCTAAGTTTTTGTATTTTTTAGTATAGACGGGTTTTCCTCCAGTTAGCCAGAATGGTCCCGAACTCCTGACCTCGTGATCCCCTCTCCCCCCGCCTCAGCCTCCCGAAGTGCTGGGATTGCAGGCACGAGCCACCGCACCTGGCCAGGAATGTGGATTCTGAGAAGCTGCAGAGCTGTGAAAAGCAGGAGACCCATGTGCAGTTGTGGTTGGGTGGGGGCGGAGGGTTCTGTCTTTTTTGCACCTCTGGCGCCTGGGGCCATTTTCTGGTTAGCGTTTTTGGTTTTGGCATTCATGGGGTCGCTGGCGTCAGGCTGTAATCTGCATACATGAAGAAAATCTGTGAAGGTCGGGCTCAGTAAAAGAGTTGTTTGCGTTGTCCCCTGGAGAAAAGGTTTAGCAACATGACGTTTACTTAGGTCACAATCTTACAATGACTCCAGGTGAGAATTTCCTACTGGTACAAATAAATGAAGGTTTTGAAGGAAAGAGTGTTTCCACACTGTCAGGAGGGGACTGAAGGGCACCTTGAGCTCCCAGAGTTGAATTCTTAAGTGTCTCTGTCTCATCACCAGCTTCTGATCCACTCTGAGATTCCATTTCTGCAGCTAAAGCCTGGCTTCGAAGCTTGGGAATTTTTTTTTTTTCCTGAGTCTCGCTCTGTCGCCGAGGCTGGAGTGCAGCGCCGTGATCTCAGTTCACTGCAACCTCCGCCTCCCGGGTTCAAGTGATTCTCCTGCCTCAGCCTCCCGAGTTGCTGGGATTACAGGCGTCTCCCACCACCCCGGCTAATTTTTGTATTTTAGTAGAGACGTGGTTTCACCATGTTGGCCAGGCTGGTCTTCAACTCCTGACCTTAAGCAATCCACCCACCTTGGCCTCCCAAAGAGCTGGGATTACAGGCGTTTGGGAATATTTTGAACCTTATGATTGTGAGTTTTCCTTGTGAACTGCGGGTGAAGCAGGCTGCTTGTCTGAGCTAGTTCAAATGTTTGCTTTACTTCTCTTGATTTCTTTACAGATGATTGTTGTCATAAAAACTCCAGTTTTTCCTATGCATTTAATAATTTTCTTTGTTGGCGTTTTAATTTTCTCACCTGAAAATGAGTAGACTGGGTACATATGATATGATAAAGCCTTGGTAATGCTGGCAGTAGAGTCATCCCAAAACCTGACCCCTGGAGGATATCAAGCCCCCTCCTCCCTCCTGTTTCCACTATGGCCTGGGTGCGTCTCCTGCTCCGAGGCCAGGGAATGGCTCCACTGGACACGGAGTCTGTCATTCCTTGTGCACACTCGTGACTGACTCCGTGCCTGTGAGGAAGAAGCAGGAAAGGCACCCTAAATGCAGAAAGAAGCCAGTGTCCGCTCTGCAGAGCCTGAAACACTTTTTGCTTAAATGCAAATATCCGTTACTGAGGGAGGAAGTCCGGCCTGCGAAGGGCAGTAGCCAAGACCCTGTCAATCTGGTTTTACTCAGCCACATACCGCATTGCTTCTCCTGTCATTCAGTGCCGAGGGGACAGGACTTAGAGCATCATCCAATCAGGGGCGCTGGGGCGGGGACCTGCAAACCATCCAATCAGGAACTCTGCAAGGGGGACGGTGGGCAACGTTCAATAACTCCGCGTTGTCTTCCTGTCTCTGGTCCGCGGCGCTTGGGTTCCGTTCTCCCCTTCTCCAGTGGCCCGGGTGGCCCCCACCGCAGCCTCTGCCGCGCTGGGACCTGCACAGGCTGGACAGAGCCGTAGGCAGGACACCAGGACACCCTGGAAGCCGGGAAATGGTGCGTGTGCTGGGCCGGGCGTCTGGAGACTGGGGGAGGGGCTGGTTTGAACCAGCCGGAACCGGCTGTGGAGGCACCCGGGCCTCCCCGCGGCGACTCCAGGGTCTGGGACCCGAGTTCCTCTGGCGCAGCGCGGCCCTCTGTCCCCTCGACCGCTGGGTGGGGCTGGGTCGTAGCCGGTATCCCGGGCGTCCTGTCCAGACCCTGCGCGACGACTGCGGCCCCAACCCCGGAGCCCTCTTTGGGCAGCTCCGCGTCCGCAGCCCCGCCTCTCCCCAGATTGTGCGGAGACACGAGAGGGTCACAGGGGGAATCCCGCCTCGCCCGTGTGGTTCGTGCGTGGGAGGAGCTGTATGCTGTGGGGTTCCCAGTCCATCCTTTTTTTTTTCCCGGGGAACCGATCTCCCTCCGAGTCTTCCAAATGTACTGGAAAGAGTCTCAAACCTACGACTCCCGTTTCTTAGCCTAGGTTTTTCTAGGGCTGAGAGTAAATCCCTAAATTTCCGGTTCCTTCCCCGCATTCCCAAAGGTGACCTCCCCTCTTCATATCACAACATTATCAACTGTTTTTTGTTTTGTATTTTAGACACAGTATTTTGGTTGTTCATAGCTTCTTTCACCATCCTCTTTTGAAAGGATTTGTTTTCTGTTTGTGGACTTTTTTGAGATAGCATCTCTCTGTCGCCAAGCTGGAGTGCAGTGGAAAGATCTCGGCTCACTGCAGCCGCCGCCTCCCGGGTTCAAGCAATTCTTCTTCCTAACCCTCCGGAGTAGTTGGGATAACAGGCAAGCACCACCATGCCTGGCTAATTTTTGTATTTTTAGTAGGGACGGGGTTTCACCATGTTGGCTAGGCTGGTCTCAAAACTCCCGGCCTCAGGTGATCTGCCCGCCTCGGCCTCCCAAAGTGCTCGGATACAGGCATGAGCCACCATGCCCGGCCTCTTGTTTGTGGACTTTTAACTTGAGAGGGAATCGGAGCATAAAAACCTGATACTCTGCGATAAAAAAAAATTTGTGCTTGCCCTCCTTTTATCTTTGCTAAGCCCCGAAGCCTACTCAGAATGTCTTTGTGTGGAGTTTCCCCTTTGGGAACTTTATTTGGTGATGTGGCCCTCTATCTTTTCCTGGTCCCGAGTTTCAGAACTGCCTGGGCCTAACCTAGGATGCCCACAGCTGCCACTTCTGGAGGATCTAGTGATTATCAGCCCCTGGGTCACTCCTCCCAGAGGACAGCCTAAGGTGTAGGGATGGGGCTTCTTAGGGGAGGTGGATACTCTGAGGTGGGAGGAGTCTCCCGGTATCCCTTTCAGCTGAAAAGTTTACCCTTTGGGACGCAGCTTTTCTTCCCCAACCCCAGTTTCCATCCCTTAGGGACGCATTGATGGTTAGCCAATCTTAGGCTGTTATTGAGAGGAAAAGACACAAACGATTCCTGACCTCTGGATTGTTTTAGTCTAGTGAAGGGAGAAAAACTATCCCAAAGGAGAAGGAAAACCCACCCCATTGAAATGGTGCAAGAACCTGAAAGGTGAAATACACTTGGGGCAGAAAGCAGGGCACAACTCACTGTCTTTAAGGAGGGCAGTCACTGAGCACTCTGAGCCAGGTTGGGGCTGGGGAGATGTCCTAGGTGATGGGGTGAACTCACCTGATACTGGATTCAGATAAATGTCTATATTCCAGGTCAGCACTGCCTCTTCCTGGGTTTGTAAACCCTTGAAAATATTTATCCGCTTATTTGATCCTTTTTTCAATACATGTACAATGTATTTTATCAGTAGCACTTGAAAGACAAAATGTTTACAAAGGGGCAGAAAGTAGATTTGAGGGAAAACAATTGTCTAGTCTTACATTCAATTTGTTAAAAAGTCTTATTTATCTATTTTCTTTCCCATAACATGTGTGGTAGGTTTCTGAGGTCTGTTTTCTTCCTTTGGGTGATTTCAGATCAATTCCAGGACTCAGCCTTGAGAATGCTACTGGGGATGAGAATCTCAGAGAAATAGGGAAACTCAGTCTTCCATTATGGCCAGAGAGAAATGAATACATTTTCACAAGAAAGTGTAGTAGATAAATTGGTGAAATACAGAGATTCTCTGAAATAACTTCTCCTTTGCAGGGTAGAGATTTTGTAGTAATACATAACTGTTATGTATCCTTTCATCTGGACTTTGGTGATTAATGTTAAATCCTACCAGATGGGACTTTGAAATATTAAATATTAGTGAATTATATATTAGTAAAGAAATTGTCATGGAAGCAATAATTACGTGTCATGTCTATTGTCTGAAAGGGATGATTGTGCTTTTCATGTTTGAGCTGTATACAAATGTCTTGCAGTTTCCTTTCCACCTATGTATATATAAACAGTGAGATTGAGTGATTTTGATGGATTCTTCAAACAGGATATTTTCTTGTCTAAAAATAAGTGAATCCAGACACGGTGGCTCACGCCTGTAATCCCAACGCTTTGGGAGGCTGAGGCAGGTGGATCACCTGAGGTTGGGAGTTCAAGACCAGCCTGACCAACATGGAGAAGCTCTGTCTCTACTAAAAATATAAAATTAGCCTGGTGTGGTGGTGCATGCCTGTAATCCTAGCCACTTGGGAGGCTGAGGCAGCAGAATCACTTGAACCTGGGAGGCGAAGGTTGTGGTGAGCAGAGATCGTGCCATTGCACTCCAGCCTGGGCAATGAGAGCAAAACCTCATCTCAAAAAAAAAAATAACAATAAAAGTAAATGAATAGTCTTGTCTGGGGAAGCAGAGGTCTGAGGCAAAGTGTGTCTCAGAGTGACTCCAAGCTAACAGCCTGCAAAGGGAGGTAATTGAAGTCCCAGTTGGTTCTTCCTGGGTAGAAGTTGCAGGTGCCCCAACCTGATCACTCCAACCAGGGGAGGAGTCCTTTATACTGAGAGAATCCACAGACCACTGGAAAGCTGGGGATCCACACGTAGGTGTAGTTGGGAAGGTGATGTTCTGTCTGAGGTTGTCATTGTTATTGTTCGGATAATAACAAAAAACCATGGGCTCCCATGATTTGAGAGTGCTGTTTCTAGACATCCTAAAATACAAGAAATCTGGAATTAGGTAAGAAGTGACTTTATTTGAAAGGACTATAACAAAAAGGGGGAAATCAGCAGATGTAAGATCTGCAGCATCCCAGAGGTTAGACAGAAAAAGGCTTTTCTGGTGGGAAGTCGTGGCTTACACCTGTAATCCCAGCACTTTGGGAGGCTAAAATAGGAGGATTGCTTGAGGTCAGGAGTTTGAGACTAACCTGGATAACATAGTAAGTCCTCCTCCCTACAAAACTAAAAAGAAATTAGCTGGGAATGGTGGTGCACACCTGTAGTCCCAGCAGAGGCTGAGGTGGGAGGATCCCTTGAGCCCAGGAGGTCAAGTCTCCAGTAAGCTGTGATTTTGCCCCTGTACTCTAGCCTGGATGATAGAGCAGGACTGTCTCCCCTCCTCTCCCGCTAAAAAAGTTTTTCATTCATAGGGAGGAACAAATAAGATTAGGAATAGGTGGGGGTGGGGGGAAGGGCAGAGTTTTCAAAAGTGCAAAATTGGATCCTGAATTAGAGAATGTTTTATCCTGAGGTTAGCCTGTTCTTAGGATGGTTCATAAAGGAGGGGTTGGGTGGGTGCTTCCATAGGCTGTTTGGCGTGGGTCAACGTTCAGGGGCCTGAAAGAGGGAGAGATACTTAACCAAAAGTTTGATTTACAGATATTTTGTTTTGACTGATCAGTGAAAACAAAACTGTCCAGCCAATTGTTTGTGAAGTAACAATGGGAATTTGGAGAGTCTGTCTGGCTTTCTTATAGGTAAAATAAGGGACATCTTAATTAGTAACAGGAAGGGTGTTTCTTTTTTTCCCCCCAGTAGCCTGCTTCTCTAGAACACCAAGGGTAGTGGTGGTGGTGGAGAGTGCTTTAATCATAGGTATTCTGTGGGATTATAGAGCTTTTTTAAAATTTAACATTGTCATCAGTTTGGTTTTGTATCCACTGAGTTGGTTTAGCCAGAGTGATTTGTGCAAATGTCTGTGAGGGTCAGACTTAATTAAGACACCTTTGGTTTCTTTCTACTGGAGGAAAGGTTTATGAATTTAAGAGTGTATTTGCTCTGTGGTATAATAAATATATTTGGTGTTGTCTGCAGTTCCTGAGACAGGGATCCTAAAACCCTTGGAATTTCCCAAGTGATAGGTGGAGTGTGTTTTGTTATTCACAACAAGCCCCTTTCAGACTATAGTTGAGTTTCTGGAACTTTTGGGTACTTTCAGAGTGGAGACTGGTGACCAGAATCACCAAACCTGTGACTAGAAGATTGTCACTTTAAGCTCCAGCCCCCCACCTCAGGAAAGAACAGAGGCTGGAGATTGAGTTGTGTAAAAATTTTTGAGAAAAGATGTTCAGAGAGTACTTTCAGGTGGATGAGGACATTGATGTGCTGGGAGGGTGGTGCACCCCAAGATGGGGAGCATTTCCTATCCACTCCCCTTTCCTTGCCACTTACATCTCTTATTTGCCTGTTCCAGAGTTGTACTTAAGTAAAATGTTTTGCTGAGTTCTTTGAATAGTTTTAGCAAATTATTGAACCCAAGGAGGAGATTATGGGAGCTCATGATTTGTACACAGTTGTTCAGAAGTGTGGGTGGCCCCGTGGCTTGTGACTGGCATGTGAACTGGCATGTGGTGAGACGGATATTGTAGAGTCTCTGCTAATTCTGAGTGGCGTCAGAACTGAATTGTTAGATACCTCACTAGTGTTGGAGAACTGGTTGGTGTTTGCACATTTGGTGTCACAGAAAAAACACCAGAGGTCAGCACCTTAAACTGACTCCAGGTAAACATATGGTCACTGGTGAGAATTGAGACCATGATTCCATGTCATGAGAAGAGGAGAGTAGGATGTGTGGAGCTCCTGGAATGCCTCCCTCACTCGTTTCTTAGGAGTGGGCCACATCTTCACAGAATGGTCCTCAGGCTTGTTCAACCGTCCAAATGTGGGTTTCCTTGTGAACTGTGGATGAAGCAGGCTGGTAGGTCATAGACCCCAGAGAGAAAGAATAGTTCTCCTTATAGGCCAACAGGAAGACGGTGGCTGTTTAGGACCTGACATATACACCTCACCAGGGGAGCAAGAGAGAGGAATCTGTGGACAGACACCTTTATTGGAGACTCCTGCGGGAGTTGTAATTGGTGAGTTTGGAGCGAGCAGATGGCAATTCCGAGGAGTCACACGATGGCTGGAGGTGGTCCTGCAGACTCTCTGTGCATTCCTTGTGTGGGGTCAGTTGGATGATTTCCAGCAGTTTGTATCTAGCTGTCTGATGGGGAGGTGGTCACTAGGGGGCAGCTGTGTAAGGCAGATAACTGGAGTGACCACATGGAGGAAATGGAGGAGACATAGAAATGGAAATTGTATTAAGGGTGACTAAGCCCCGCTTCTGGTATGAAAAAGTTAAAGCCATATTCAACGTGGCTTCTGAGGTAACGTAAAATGATAAGAATTCACTACAATAGAGAGCTCTACACTGATATCACAACATTATGTGGGGATGATGGACAGAAGATGAATTATTCTCCTGGAGATAACCATTTATCCCTGCCCCTGTTGTTTAACTGTCCATTGTTTCTGTCCCTGACTGACCATACCTGCTCTGTCGTAGGTTCACGTACCTTACATAGATGCCCTGGTTTCAGAATTTGCTATATTTCTTTGGTCTGTCTCTGCTACTGCCTTAATGTCCTAATTATTTCATATCCCTAATGTATGGTTGAGAAAGTACCAGACTGTCTTAGTCACCTGGGATGCTGTAATACACTGCCATGGGCTGGGTGACGTAACACACATTTATTTTTCACAGATCTGGAGGCTGGGAAGTCCAAGTTCAAGGTAATAGTGGATGTAAGGGCCTGCTTTGTGGTTTTCAGATTATCATCTCATTGTATCGAGGAAGCAAGCTGTCTCCTGTCATTTCTTCTAAGGGTGCTAATTCCATTTATGAGGGCGCCACCCTCATGATCTCTAACCCCAGTTACCTCCCAAAGATGCCACCTCATAATACAATGACATTGGGAGTTAGAACTTCAGTATATGAATTTTGGGAGGGACGCACAGATTCAGGCTATAACGCTGACAGTGTCCTGTACAAAGTCTTTGCTGTTTTTAGATATTTGAGCTCTCTTTCAGTTTTTTTTTTTTTTTTTTTTTGAGACGAAGTCTTGCTCTGTTGCCCAGGCTGGAGCGCAATGGT